GGCCCAGAGGAAACATACCTAGTCTTTACTTCACACACATCTTTTAGCTCATAAAATACAAAGGCCTGCAAACTCCTGCTAACCATTCCTTCCATTCCCGTCACTGCCCAGAATGTGCTCAATCGTAATTGGGAATAGAGAGGCTGGCTGGCTGTTACGACAGGACAAAAGGCAGCCACTTCGAACACACCTCCTCCACCCCAGTCTGAGTGGGCCAGAAAGCCAGGTGCAGCCTGGCTGGATCCCCTCCGCAACCAAGAGGTCAGCAGGGCTGGAGTTACCTCCCGAGACACTCTGGGATCAGGACCCACGTCCACGCAGTATACGGTTGTCCCTGTGTCCGGGAGTCGCGGTTCCTGGCTTGAACGTGGTAGTGGTGGCCCTCAGCGGATCGCCACCTTAAAAACTCCAGCTCGCTCATCAGAGCACAAGCATGAGAGGAGAGAGGGAGGAGGAGGAAGTCACCATGCAGGTGGTGACCTAACCACAGCCACGTCCCTCTGCTTTGTCGCACACTGTCGCTTCGCAGGGAGCCACTGCAGAGGTTCCAGGGTCAGAGTCTGTTAGCTCAGGGGGCAGCTCCTCTGTGGATGTCGCCCCCCGCACCTCAGAGAGATCGACATCGAGGGCTCTGCCTCCTGGATGAGCTTCCTGGAGCCCTGCCAGGCCTCAGTTTCCCACCCGATGGGCAGCCCGTGTGGGCATGGAGATGCCTGAGATTCTGCCCTCTCCTATCCAGCTCTGCCCAGTCTAGGCTTCGGTGAATTGCACGGATCTTAATTCAATCAAGCTGACGAAGTTAGATTTCTCTGTACTCTTGGAGAGCAGCCAGACCCACACTGAATGCTGTGAGGCCCCTCCAGGCTCCCGGGCTGATGTGGGCAAGGGTGGCAGGAAGAAAGGAAGGAAGGCCACCTCCCCACCCAGCCAGGCTGGCACCAAGCCTTGGAGGGATGAAAGGCCCTTCCTTCCCAGGGGCACAATTCAGTGCAGCAAGCCCTGCTTCCGCATACGACTAGAATAAGTGCATGTCCCCGAGGGAGGCGGACACAGCTCACCAGGCCCCCGATCCCCATGTCCCTCCCATCTTCTGTCCTTCTGCTCAAGTCCCTGCTCCTGTGAGCTCAGAGAGGGCCACCCAGTGAGTGCCACTCACTCATCACCGCCTTCCCCATGGCGACAGTGTCAGGAGTGCAAGCAGCCAGCCAGACAGACACAGACACAGGGAGACAGGGTCCTGGCTGTCTCCAGCCTCTGCATGGCCCGGAATGAGGCCCTTCCCTTGCTGGGCCCCACTCATCAGGGTTGATTCGTTGCCCAGAACGGTCTCCTACAGCTCTTAAATCCCATGGCTCTTACACTGACCCAGACCAAGCAGGGAAGAGGAGCTAAGAACTTCCGTGGCTTGAATGACGGTGTCTACCCAGAAACTCGGGATGAAACTTGACCTTTGATGCAGGGGTGCACACCTGTCATCTCGGCACTCTGGGAGGCTGAGGCAGGAGGATCATAAGACTGTGCCCAGCCTGGGCAACTTAGCAAAACTCTGTCAAAATAAAAAATTAAAAGCTGGGGATGTAGCTCAGTGCAAAGGGGCTTGGTTCAATCTCCAGCTCCTCAAAAAAAAGGTGGGGCCTGTAGGAGGTGATTAAATCACAGCATAAATGAGTTTTGGGCCCTTGCACAAGGCCTAGGTGGAAAAGTTTGTCCCCTCCCCCCCCATCCCTTCCACTGTGTGAGGACACAGACTCCTCCCCCTGCAGGGGACACAAAGGCAAGACTCTGTCCGTCACCAGACAACTGAACCTGCTGGCACCTTGACCTTGAACTCCTGAACCTCCAGAATGGTAAGAAATAGATTTCTCTTCTTTACACAGTACTGCCTCAGGTATTTTGTTATAGCACCACAAATGGACTAAGATAGTAGGAAAACTCCCAGGAACATGTGGCTTATGCCCATTTATTCCACTTAATAAAAATTATAGAGATAGGGATATATTCAGGGTTGAGGCAGGAGCCCTCCCTTTGCTGACAATGAGAGACAGAGAGAGACAGAGATAGAGACAGAGATTCCCCAGGGGACCAAGAAGGCTGCCACAGCTCTGGACATCACATCTTCACACCATGGAATCAAACACAAGGAGGAGGCAGAGTGTGGGCATTCCACTCTGCCATTCCCTGCTGCTGCTACCTTCCCAGGAAGGAAAGTCCTCCCCAAAGACTCTCCCTTCCATCTTATTTGGTTTGAATTGTGTCTTCCAAAGTGAAATATTTTCATCCTTCTGATCCTGCCTGTATTTGGAAACAGTCGGCCCCATACCCGGTTCCCCAACTGCCTACGTGACCTCACTTCCAGGACACAGGCTTTAAGGGATCTTGTTTCCCTGGTTCCGTCTCTGCTTGCCCGGAGTTTTAATGGGTTGGTCTGCTTGCATCTAGTACCCTTTAGTTGGAGGATTTGTGGAGCCGGGTCCATGTCAGCCACGAGAAGTAGCTACAGTTGCTCTTGCTTTACAGAAGAGAAGAACCCAGCCCCAGAGAAGAAAGAGACTTGCCAGGGCCACACAGAGGCATCTGGTCTGGAAACCAGATCTACTGGCCTCTAAAAACCATCAGACTTGCAGGGACATTGTGAGCTGCCCAGGGGATCCCCGATGGCCTGCAGAGGGCAACTCTGAGTGGCTAATGCTGAGGGACCCAGGGGGTCTTGGGGCCCTCAGGGGCCTTGCTCTGTGCTTCTAACTCCTTTCCCGATAGGACAAGGACGGAGCTCAGCTTTATCTGGTCCTGCAGCCTCGTGCTCACCGGGGGCTCGGGCACAACCTCTGTCTTGGCCCCAGCCTTTGCCACCTCTGCTGGCCCAGCTGGGCAGCCCCCTGCCTCTGATTCATCATCTACAAGCTGCTGCTGCTGTCCTCAGAGGCAACTCTGGTTGTGCCTTCTGTCTTCACATGAAGTCCTCTGGGACAGCCTTGGCCAAGACAATAAGGTCTCAGGCTTTGCCCACTGGTCAGGCCCCCTCAAGCCCTGCACACTCGGGCACAGAGGCCCTGGTACCATCCTAGATCGGCCTCACTTTCACACCCTTCCTTGTTCCTGTTCCTGCCCTGCTTCCTGCCTAGCTCGGCTTCCTGGCCCGATATTTCTCTTAGTGAAATGTCATCTTTCCTGCCCAACCCAAACGCCACTTGCATATTCCCAGCAGTCTCTCCTGTGTGCAGCCCCTTCCTGCAGACTGCTGAGCTGGGGGAAGAGGGTGATGGTCAAAGTAACAACAACACACCGTGCCAGGAGCTCAGCCAAAGGCTGTCACACTTTAGCTCACTTATCCCTCACAGCCACCCAAGAAAGAGCTACCGTACCTGTAATCCCAGCACTCCAGGAGGCTGAGGCAGAAGGATCGCAAATTCAAGCCCTGCCTGGGCAACTTGGCAAGATCCTGTCTCAAAATAAAATAAAAATTTAGAAAAAGACTGAAGATATAGCTCAGAGCAAAGGCCCTGGGTCTAATTCCCAATATGGCAGAGAAAAAAAAAAAAAAAAACATGGAGGCCCAGGGAAGTTAAGCAACTTGCCTGTAGGCACACACTGGTAAATGGGGAGGAGCCAGAACCCCCAATAGCCATGCAGTCCTGGAGCAGGGGCTCTTGAGCTCTCCCTGAGGTCCTCAGTGCAGAACACCAGAAGTGTGTGCCGTACCTGACGCCTCTGCAGGACCCGCGCCAACCTTGTCTGTCTCCTCTGACCATCTGCAGCCCTGAGGCAGGGCCTGTCTTAGGAGTCCTGGCTGTGTCTAGCACAGCGCCAAGGACAGGGATAGCAGGCACTTGTTGGAAAGGGCGAATGACAACTATGTAGAGTATCATTATACTTGAGTCACCCGGGGAGAGTAACTGGGGCCCCAGAAGATAACCCAGCTGAGAGATGGGCCTGAACCCTCAGTGAGGCTCTATCCACAGGAGAGGACGGAAGTCACGTGCCCCTGCACTGTCCCCTGTGCCAGGTGCTCCGGGAGTGAGCAGGGCATGCCTCTGCCTGCATTCCAAATGCCCAGGTCTTGGGGATGCCCTGTGGGCTCCCTCTGTGGGTGCACAGCCATCAGCCCCTCTTTTCAGCCACACACCCTCCAGGGAGGGAGGAGTGGGACGGCCGGCTATCGGGAACCAGAGGGTGATGAGGGAGTGTCACCAGCCACTCACAGTCACCCCGGCCCCCTCGAGTCCACCGTCCACGCAAGCCCGCCTGACCTCCTAGAGTCCCCTCAGTCCTCATGACACTGACCCTGCCACTGTCCTGCACCGCCAGCACCCCAGCTCCTCTCTGCTGGCCCAGGGCTAGGAAGCCCCTTCCTGCCAACTCCTCCCCACTGTCACTTAGCAACAGGATCACACCACTTCCTGTTTGAAGTTCTCCTTGGCTCCCCACTGCCCAAAGCATGACACCCCAGATTGCAGCCTCCTCTTCCCGGAACCCCATCAACTCCCCTTCCTCTGCCTCAGTGCATCTTGTGGCCGTTACAGACCTTTCGCTCAGGGCACCTCCCAGCTCTACGTCCCCCTGCTTCGTCTGCCCACCGCTCCTCCAGGAAGCCCTCTGTCCGGCCACGTGTCCCGGCTCCCCAAACGTCCCTGCCTGTGACTCACTCTCCAGAACGGCCACGCTTCACCGAAACCACCCCATCACACGTGGCCCCGCTGAGCTGTCTGGGGGCAGAATCTTGTTCTGTGTTCCTGCTTCCTGCCCCTAGTGCAGCTCCTGGAACAGGAGGAGCCAGAGATCCGGGACTGGGTTCTGAGCGGAACTGAAATTACCTTCAGATCATGCAAGCGCAAATAGGCAAACCCAGGGCCTCCCTCTTGGGGCTGCAGTGAGAATGGAGAGAAATAACACTCGTGAGGAGCTGAGCGTACTGTCGGTGCCTGAGACCGCTCTCATCACTATTACCGAGCTCCAGGCAGAAGGCACGAGGCTGGCACGAGGAGAGCTAGGTTCCAGCCCCGGACGCCCTATTAACTGTCAGGGTGGCCTCCGCCAAGTCCATCATCCTGCCTGAAGTGGTGCTCAGTAAGTGTTATCCTCCTCCCTTGCTCCATTTCCGGCAGCGAATGAGTCCCCGTGTGATCCTCGCCCCTCCCTCCCCTCGACAAGGATGATGAGGAACCTGTAGATGATCGGCAATGTGTATTAGCGATTTATGAACGCTGTGGTTGTGAACATCCCAATTCAGAGCCGACCACTCAGAGACCTACTTCCCAGGAGAACTCACCCCACTGACCCTTCGCCCATGCCCCCAACACATTGCTACATCAAAAAGTGGAAAAAATAAGATGGACATGGTGGCTCATGCCAGGAATCCTAGCACTCAGGAGGCTGAGACAGGACGATTGCAAGTTTAAGCCCAGCCTGGGCCGCTTAGCAATTTGGCAAGAATCTGTCTCACAGTGAAAAGGGGGCAGGACACGTAGCTCAGTGTGAAGGCTCTGTGTTCAATCCACAGAATCGCCCGCCCCACCAAAAAGTGGCCAAACCCTGATGCCTATTACCTCAGTCCCACCAGCAGAGAAGGGCTCGATCTTACCCAAGCCAGCCCTGCAGGACTGCAGTAAAACACCCTGCCCTTTCTGTAAATTACTAGACTGCTCCAGGCTTTTTAAAACAAAGTTCCCAAGACTCTAATGGAACTGTTATTCCCACTGGGTTTGTAGGAAAGAGAAGGAGCCCACTCCTACCCCTACCCTGCTAGAAGCCAGTTCTTGCCCATAGGAGCAGAAAGGGGCAGAAACTACATTACCCAGAAGTCCCTGTGGCTGCAGCTGGGCTGACCTATGGCTTCCATTCCTAAACTACAAGGGGCAGTCTCCTTCTTGGTCCTCTACTGGCCAATCAGAGCATGGAATGGAGGAAGGGGTAGAAATAGGGAAGGCAAGGTGACCCTGTCCAGTTTTTCAAAGGTATTTTGGAAAGAAGATGAACAAACACAGTCTGCTGGCAGCTAATCCCTAAAACCTGAGCACAGGGGAGGCAGAGCCCCGAGCAACACCCCACCACCACCACCAGGCTATCTAGATCTCTGCCCCTAAGGATAGGAGATAAGAATCCCTGTGCCCAGGAAGTCTGATTCTGCACTCCCTGTCAACCTGTCGTCCTCTGGAGCCAGCTGGAGCCAGCTGCGCAGCTGCGATGGACACAGGTGGTTTGGTGCTTGCCCTTGTCCTCGCTCCACTGAGCCTGAGGTTGGGTGGGCTCTGGGGATGGACAGGAGGTTTTCATGCAAGGAGAAGGGCTGTGAGCTCGAGCAGGTGGCCCACCAGGAGCAAGCGTCTTTGGGAGCCCTGTGAGCCAGAAGCCTGTACTTGCAGTCCTCTTTCCACTCCCGGAATGTGGCTTCCTAGGTCTTCTCCTTCCAAACCTGCTCCAGCTCGTCCAGTTCTGGAAGCTGTCAGAGTTGGTAGGAAAGAGAGTTTCCTTCATCCTTGTCTCCACATCCCATGTGGGGTTTACAGCTATGCAGAGAGGCAACAGACCCAGACTTTTTCCCAATCCACATTTTGTGGGTAGTTTCTGGGTCCTCTGACTCTTTCAGAAGTCCCTGCACACCTCCAAAGTAGGGCTTGGAGATTGTCTGGCCAGGCACTCCCCAAGTCCAGGATCTTTATCCCACCACAGTCTGGGGTGTCCCCAAGGGTGGGGCAACCGCCTCTAGGGGATGTGGAAATAGAAAAGGTATGTTTGCACCCCATCCCTACCATGTGAAAGCTTGATTACCATAAGACAAGACACCTCATTTCTCTGAGCTCCACTATCCTCAGAAATGCTAAGAATAAGAATATTCTCCCAAGCCAAATGGTAGCCCAGTTGTTTAACCAGCAAGAACTCTGCAAGCCTAGTTACTGTTACGTTTTGGCTGAGAGTTGCAGGTGCAGCCATAGCCAGAAGCCTACTTGCGAAGTTGAAAGACAGGTCCAAGTACAGCTACTGTTTATAGCAGGATTTGCTTCCGGAGAGCTCCTCCCTTGCTGCCACCCCACTTCCGTTTCCCCCAAAGACCCTAGAGCCTCAAATAGCAAAGTCAGAAGTCCAGATCAAAGCCCTGTGATGGGCCGACTTGAGTCCAAGAAAGGTTCTCTCCCTACAAAATAGGATTGGCTGGGAAGATCTAAGGGTGGTACCAACAAAAGTGAGAAATCACTGCTTTGGGGTCCAAACTCCGATGATTGTCTCCTGTGAGTTTTTTGTTCATTCCTTGAGGGGTTTCCTTGCATGGGATATGGCGGCCCGAGTTTCACCTTTCCAGGGGTGGTTGGGCAGGAGGGATTGTGAGGAGCAATGGGGGCCATGCAGAGACTCAAGGACTGAGTCTGGGGGGATTACCCTGTCCATCCCTGGGGCGGCCGTATAAGTCAAGTGGGGTCAAGATGGCAAGAATCACAGAGCCCCAACTTTGTCGGGCCGGGGTCACCTCTCACCCTTACAAAGGAGCCTGGAAGCTGACGAGGACTTGGTGGAAACCACATCCTTCAAGCTCCTTCCTTGCCTCCAGTTTATCATCCAGGAAGAGAATCTAAAGAATTTCTGGCTCTTGTACACTGATCTTCAGAAATGGCCTGGTTTGGGCTCCCCAGCTGTACCATGAGGAATCCATTTGGCTGCAACTAACAGGAAACACAACCCCACTGCTTAAGCAAAAAGGTGTTGTTTTCTTCAATATCAAGTAATCCAGGGATAATTGTTATTGTACTGATATAGCACTCAATGACGGCAAAGACCTAAACCTTTTCTATTGTTCCATTCCATCAGCTCACCTCAAACTGGATTTTATCCTTATGCTTAGTCTCTCATGTTCACAAGGCAGGGTTTGTGGTGTCAGGGACCACACCGTATGCGAGGAAGGAAGAGGGCAGGGTCCTGACACCCTAGCAGGGAGACCTCTCCCACCTGTGCAGACCCGTGCTTATCAAGTGTGGAATCTGCATCCTTCAGAAGAGGGAGAGGGTGAAGGGCAGTTGAGGGCCTCATCCTGAAAGTGTCCACTGCCTGGGCACTGGGCTGGGGCTGAGGTCTCTGGGACCAGAACTGTGTCACTGGGAGCACAGCTTAGCCACTGGGACAATGACTTATCTTGCCTGTCCCTCCCTGCTCCTGTCCCCCACAGGGTGACGAGAGGCACAAGCTGCTCTGGGCAGGTCATCAGAGATGCCAGGCTGGCAGAAGCTCCCTCTGTGCCAGCTACCTCTTCCACAAGCGCTGGGAGCCCATGTTTGAAAATAGCAGCACTGGGTCTATCGTCAGTTCTTTAAACCAACTTGCAACCTTTATAACAAGGGTGGGAGGTGGCTGCGCAGGGGAGCACTGTACTGGGAGTCCAGTCCTGGTCCTGAGGCCAATCTCACTTCATCGCCTTCTTCTCTCAGCCCCTTGTCTGTAAAGGTGAAGATGATGGTTGTGTGCACTGCAAGGAGCTCTTCGACCCTTTAGTCTGTGTAAGGAGATGATTTAAAAATTGCTTACTCTAGGGCTGGGGATTTAGCTCAGTGGTGCTGCCACCTGCCTTGTAAGCACGAGGACTCAAGTATGGTCCCCAGGACAAAAAAAAAAAAAAAAAAAAAAAAAAAAAAAGACAAGGGGACAAAGAATGGACCACAGAAAAAAAAAAAAAAAAAAAAAAAAAAAAAAAAATGCTAACTCCAGAAGTGTCTTTAAAGATTAAAAGGGAAGTAAGTAGAAATTATGGGCTGAATTATGCCATCCAAATTTATAGGTTGAACTTCTAGCTCCATTAGCTCAGAATGTAACTGTGTTTGGCCATAGGGCCTTTAAAGTGGTGGTTAAGGGGAGGCTGTAGGACGGGCTATAACCCGATACAACCAGCATCCTTATGAGGGGAGGAGACAAGGACACAGATACCCAGAGCAGAGGACCACAGGAAGACACGGGGGCGAGGAGGGCACGATGCCTGCAAACCACGAGGAAACCCACCCACTGACACCTCAGCCTGGACTTCCGCCTCCAGGACTGAGGATACAGTGCAAAGAGAAATAGCCCAGCACAGAGGACAGAACTGAAAATTCCAAGGGACCCTCAGGAAGCCACGTGGTACTGCATTACAAGCAGGACACATGCATGCCATGCCTAGGGCCTGCCATGAGGGTCTGGAAGAGCAGGCATGGCCCTTGCTGCCAAGCAGACACCCAGGGCCACAGGAGCACTCCTGGGTGGCCAGCACACCCCAGGCACCAAGGCCCAGGAAAGGGTGCAGCTCAACCCCAGTTGGTACAGTGGAAATCACAATTTCCGATTCATGACTGATTTGCTTCGTTTAAAAACCAGGTGGTGGGGGGCAGCGATGTAGCTCAGTGATGTCGCCCCTGCTTCGCAAATGCAAGGTCCTGAGTTCAATCCCTGGTATTGGGGGAAAAAGCAACAGGCGAGCCTCAAGATCACAGCCACAGCACCGTCACCTTCTTTACCTGTTTGCTGGTTCATCTCACGTCCCAGCACACACAGCTCCTGCTGCACACCAGCACACGCACTGGGTGCTGGGGACATAACACAGTCTCTACCTCCGGGAAACTTCATTCCCCTAGTGGGCAAAAGTTATGAAAGCAAGTAAATTAGCACACATGCACATGTACAGAATGCAGGATAAAGAATCACTAAAGAAAGACAGAGGAACTCCTTGTTTGCACTTTGGGACAGACCATAGCTGAACTCAGCAGAGAGCTGTTACAGTTTACATCTGAATGTCCCCCAAAGCCTCATGTGCCCCGAGGAGGAAATTTTAGATGGTGACTGGATTAGGGGAGGTGATAGTTGACTTTCTGTTAGGAGGTGGGGTCTGGCCGGAAGAGATGGGTCAATGCAGATGTGATCTGGAAGGGTTTAGCTCCTCACCACGCCCCCTCCTCTTTCTGCTTTCTGGCTGTCCTGAGGTGAACAGCTTTCCTCTGCAAGACCCTTTCCACCGTGCCACTTCTGCCTGGAGCTAGTCAACCATGCAAGGACTGAAACTCCTAAAACGTGTGCCCCAAATCCTCTCCTCCTTGAAGCGGTTGGTGTTGGCTATTTTGTCCCCACTTTGAGGAAAGTGAGTAAGCAAACCGCACAGAGACGTGAAGAAGGACGGTCCAGAGAAAGCATCTGTGAGTACCAAGGGCCAGGAGTGGAAGGGGGCCCAGTGTATCAAAGTAACAGCAGGAGACGGTGTGCCCAAAACAGGGAGCGACGGGGAGAGTGTGGGAGCTGAGGTCAGGGGTATGAGGCACAATAAAGGCTTCGGACTTTACCAGAGAATGGTATGAGGTCCCTGGAAAGGTTTGCGCAGGGGAATGATGTGCTTCAAAAGAACCTCTTTCTCCAGCTGCAGTGTGGACAACAGAACAGAAAGGCAAGATTTGCTGATGGGAGGGGATGAGGATGTGAGGGGAGCAGGATGAGATGGCACCACTTGGACTCCCGAACATCTAGGCAAGCAGAGGGTGCCTGACCACCTGGATCCCCCCTCTGCAAGAGGCAGGAAAGGGGCAGAGAACCACACACAAGGAGGCTGGGCAGAGGCTTAGTGCCAGGCCTGTGGCTGCATCTGTGACTGTGGGGAGCCTTGTGCTCCCCAAAGCCTGTAACCCATCGAGCTTGTCCATGCCTTCAATTTGCAGAGAGAGAGGCATGAGTCCCCATGCACCTGACATTGTCTCTGCTGAGTGGGCCTGGAAGAAAGCGTTGCTTCCATTCCTTTTCATAACTCCATGGAACAAGCCACAGCAGGCTCAGACAGAAGGCTGAGCGGGGCTTGGAGAAGCCATCTCCTCCACGGGGCCTGGGTTTTTTGATTTGCAGAATAGCACACCGATCATCTGCCTGAATCCTGCCACCTTGGGATGGATGCCAAACTTGCCAAGGAGGCTTACACTGAACACGGCAAATGGGTAGGCATCACACCACAGCACCAGCAGCCTTGTGCTTGTCTGACTGTCTGTCCTTAAGGCCCCTGGGCCTTGGTCCCCAGGCAACATCAATGCGGAGAGTACTGTTAGGATCTTTGTATTAGTCATTTTCCCATTCCTGGTACAAAATACCATGACACCCACAATTTGAGGAGAAGTTCATTTCAGCTCATGGTTTCAGAGGGTTCAGTCTATGGTTGGCTGGCTCTAAGGCAAACACAGCATGGTGGAAACAGGAAAGGTGCTTACCCTATGGCAGCCAGGAAGCAGAGCAGGAGGAAGGGCCGAGGAACAAAAATACATCCTTGGAGGTGATGCCCCTAGTCACTCAACTCCACCTCCTGACACACATTCAGCCGATAGCACCCCATGGTCCAATTATCTTCCAAAAGCCCAGCTTTAAACACATGAGACTTTGGGGGCACATTTTAGAGTTAAACCATAATGATCCTACAGTGGGACCACTTAGCAAACCCATTCAGTTGGGCATTGTCGAAGAATGAGAGCGAAAAGAAAACCAACCAACCAGAGCCAACGTGGCCCTAGATTTTTATTCGGCCCAATGCATCTCATCGCTCTAACAGGAAACCTTCTCCTCTCTGCTGCTGACGTGGAGTCATGCAGCCACTCACCGGTCCCACCACCAAGCCCAGGGATAGGAGTGAAGAGAGGAGAACTTTCTGTGGCTCCCTAGGTCCCAGTGGGCTCTTTGAGCAGCAAGTCTGTCACGTTCTGCCTGAGAAGAGACGAGTCCCACACAGCCAGGAAGGACTTCATTGTTCTGAGTCACATTGAGGCCCACTCCCACCTTGTGCCACACCCCGGACTCAGACAGAGCTGCCCACACACGGCCCAAACAGAACGCCACACAGGCACACCCATGAACACAGAGATGAAAGGCGCTGTCCCTGCAAGGGCTGACAGCACATCAGGCAGTTGTGGAAGACTTGGTAGTGTCACCTCCTTCCATCCTCAGAAGATCCCTTCAGATGGGGGCCATGGTTACTAAACACCATCATCTGGGTGTCACAGAGTGAGACTTCCCGGCTGTAAACTGCAGAGCCCAGATTCAGCATGTCTCTGAGGCCCGGACTCTCACCAACACCCTCCCAGCTCCTACTGCTGCACACCCTCCTTGCACACATCTGTACACATACTGCCCATCACACACACATACACACACACACACACACACATACACAGAGAGCCTGACAGAACACACCACACTCTTCAGGCCATGTACCAAGTCCGAAGCATCCAGCGATCTCCCCAGCCTCCCTGGAAAGGAGCAGCGGTGCCTTCCCATTCTGCTCCGAGGGTTCCCTGGTCCCCTCCTGGCCTCAGACCCTGAAGCCCAGGCAATTGCTCATTTATCTCATTCAAATGCAGGCAAATTGCTGAGACGGGCTAAGTCTTTGTCCAAGCTTCTGTGCGATAGGCAGATCAGGAGCAGAAGCATGAACCTTAAATCATCTTATCTAAGTCCACAACATTTAATAAATCTGTGGTCGCGAGATTTTCCACCGGTGGCCGGCAGTTAAAGAAAAGGGCACTTTTACAGCTCAGCCCTAATGCGCTGGCTCACAAAGAAATCACTGCTTGTTCTGACTTATCAGACTCCATTATCACTCCCTTAATCAGGGACACTCAGTTTGTTCTGCCGCTAACACCATGAGCTCAACGTGCCCAGGAAATAAAAAAGGGACGGAGACTTCCGGTCTCCGGCAAGGACTTGGGGCAAAGGGTCCTCCAGATGGAGTGGGGGCCGCGGAGTGTGACAGGAGAACTTCTCAGGAGGGTGACATCAGGTGTCCAAGCTCCAGGCTGCCTAGAGGACACCCAGGCTCCAGGCTGAGGATGAGCAAGGAGCAGGGCCAGTTTCTACTTGGGAATGAGCCTGGCTCCAGGAGCAAGTGGTTAATGCCCCAGACTCTGCGTTTGGAATCCGACCCAGGAAATATTGACCTTGACCTTGGCGAGTGAACTCCAGGACTCTGTGAAGTGGGGATAATAGCACGTGTTTCACAGTGCTGCTGAAAGAACCATTCAGAAATGAATTTGTTTTGGGAAGACATCTTGTTCTGGAAAACAGCCCTCCTCGGGGGTGGCAGGAGTATCTGGGGACAAGTTAGGAGGACGTGGCTCCGCCTGCTCTCCTTGCAGGAAGGAACAGCCGTCCCGGACGGTGGGTACAGACAGTGGGGTCTCAGAGACAGCTGCAGGAAGCCAGCCTCCTCCGGGGTGGTCAGGCGCGATTTCACCTCCTGGAGCCACGCAGGCATAGTGTCCCCCAACACAGAGGCAGGGTGGGTCTGCGTGACCCAGAGAGCACACGGAGTTGTTTCTGTGACTTCTAAGGCTCCCGGCGTGGTGGCTGGGAGTGCTGGCAGGGGCAGGCCAGTCACTGTCGCACCGCCTGGGGTGGCTGAGTGTAAGAGACCCCACAGTACAGCCACTCATGCAGGCCACTCCTCTGCTCCACACCCCTGGAAACTGACAGATGACTACAGGGGTGACACAGCCCAACGAGCCGTGTACAGATCAGGAAAGCTATAGAAGAGCGCCCTGTCCAAGATCGAAAGGACCCAGACTGCTGGGTGCTAGGCTGGCTCCTACCCAGCACCTGGGGCTGGCCTGACCTCGGGCAGCTGGACTAGAGGAGTCAAGGGGCATCTCCCAAACAACTCTGTCTGTCCCTCACCTCCAGCAAGCACTGAAAGGACGCAATCTGAAATAAGGTTAATTTTTAAAAATCGATTCCTATTAAATTATATCAGGGACAGTCAGGCTCTCTCCTTCCTCCATGCTTCCTCCACTTGCTGCTTTGCATTCTATTGTCTTGTGATCAAAAGGTGGCTGCCACTGCTCCAACAATCACATCATCATTTTTCTATGAGATCACATCACCTTTCTATGAGAAGATGAGAAAAGAGGGGTTCTCTGTGAATGGCTCTCACTTACCGGAGATGTCAGTCTTTCCCAGAAGCTCCTTGAAAATTTCTCTTTTTTATCTCAATGTCCAGGTCTGAGTTATAAGGCTGCATCTAGAAATGGAACTGGAAAATAGCCTATCACTGAGTTTATTTCCCATGGAAAAAAAGTCAGGATTATTTTAGCAAGAAAGGAGGGTGACAGCCATTAGGTAAGTTATCAATTGCATCTGCCTTGTATATAAATAAATCCCATTGCCCAAATACTACGGTATTAAACACACACACACACACACACACACACACACACACAGTATAATCATGGTGAAAAACCATTTGTGGTTCTCTGGAAAATCCATTTCCCTGCTTTTCTTTAAGTCCCTTCCTTTGGAGTAACTGAGGAGCAGGTGGCAGAAGGACTCAGTCATGGCCTCCTGCTGATGGTAGCAGAGCTGAATCTTCACACAGCGTCCTGGACTCTGTGGCCAAGCTTGGGATCATGTCAATCCACATTCTCCATCGTGGCTTCCGGGCAGCATTTTTCCCAAGATGCTTTGCAAATTATGAAGGGCTGAGTAATCCAATAAGAGAAAGACTTGCCCTACTTAACCTCTATCTTGACGATTCCTTGCGCCCAGTAACATGTCAGAATCTCTAAGACCTACGGTAAAGAATGTGTTTTATAACATTGAACTAGTAGTTCCCGAAATGTATTTGGACAGCACGTATTTACCATCTGGGCCTCTCGAGCTCCACAAAAAAAGCTCTGGCAATGCTGCCCCAAGCAGGACAGCCCCAGCCACCCCACCGCTGGCACGAGCATCTGCGAGCAGGTAATTAGCCCCACACAGGCGCTGTGCTTCTGCTGCGTTCCTCCCCGCCTTCCACTCAGGTGGTGCGATTCCTTCTCCAGTTAATGAAGAAGTTTATTTCTGCGTGCTCATTTAGGAATCATAATCACTTTCGAGGAAGACTGAGAGGGTGCTATTAGGAAGAATGGGCAGGGAGCTGGGGAGTAGGGCAGGGACCCTGCTGACTTTCTCTGGCTCAGAGCCACTGACAAGCGTGGTCTCTGTGCCTCTGACCTTGCTCCCGAGGACCCGGCACCCCTGCTGGTGTCCCTACCCGGCTCTTCCCGACGCTCCCGGCACTGCGCGCACAGCCTCCAGCCATCTCCGTCTGTGCCTGCTCTGGGTTCCCTCTGCATCTACGGTCAGATCACTGACACCTGGAATTCCTCAGGGACCTGGCTGAGGTCCTGGGTTTGGGACTTTTCATCCCTTCCATGGGGCTGGGTAGGAGCAGGAAGAGACATGAAATATTTGATCAGCCACGATCGCTTGGATTTCTAAACTTGTGGTGGAAATAATCAGAGAGAGAAATGGGCACATCAGAAGGGCACATCTCAGAGAATTTTCACAAACTGCACTCTCTGTCACTGTGGAACCAGCCCCTTCCTCAGGTGTCCACGTGTTTAGCACCTCAGAAGCCCTGGGTGCTGGCTACCAGGCAGGGCTCCCCCAGGGTGGCCACCCATCTGTATAGAAATAAAAAATAAAAAGGGCTAGGCATGAGGTTCAGTGTGAAGACCCTTGCTCCAATCCCCAGTACTTCATCAGGAGGGAAGGAAGGCAGGTAGGAAGGGAGGGAGGGAGAGGAAAAGATAGAAAGAGGAAAGGAGAGAGAGAGAGAGAGAGAGTCACTAAATTAAATGGAGAACAAATAGTAAAATTAAAATAGCACCACCTCACAGTCCATGTGGATTAATGGACCAAATAGGCATTGCTCATTGGTCCGCTAACATCACAGAGAGAAACACAGTCAGAATCATGACATCCGAGATAAGAATACAATACCACCTTTGAAGGCATCTTTCCAAAAAAAAGAAAGGAGAGAGGGAGGGAGGGAGAAAGAGAGAGCACCTGTGGACCCCGCTGTCAGTCTACAGGGAAATACAGAGGGCAGAGGAACATGTTAAAGTTCACCAAAAGAATGAAATCAGGAAAGGCAAGTTAGTGACAAAGAGCATGGGACAAACCGCCCCATGTCACCAATAAGCCGGAGGACGGAGAGCTGTGATGACCTGTCTATTATAAAGACTTGAAAGATGTGTCAGCCACTCAACCTTTATGTACCTTATTCAAGTGCTGCCTCAAACAAGGAGACAGTTTTTAAAATGTCACAGAGGCTCCATCTCTGGAGTCCATGTTGGGCTGGGGGTGGGTGCTGGGAGAGGTAGGAGAATGTTTACCGTTCCTTGGGGCTGCGCCTGGCCCTAGTCCCTGTGCTTGTGATGAGTAGATCAGTAGTGGCTGAGCCTGGCCTCACTGTGTGGCCAGGAACCTCCTCTTCCCTTCCCATCTTTGTGCGGGGCACTCCGGGGACAGTGGAGGGTGGGCGCTGGAGATCACAGAGCGGGAACCCAAGGGGGACATGTCCGGCATTGGAGGGGACACCTGCTGGGGAGGAGAGGACACAGAGGAGCTCCCAGGAAGTTGGAGCTGGGAGGAAATGCCTGCCCCTCCTCCCCTTCTGGGACTCTAGGGAAAGGTGGGGTCAGGGGACCCAGAGCCAGGTCCCATCAGCACTTTGAAATCCCCACACCTTGTCTGTGCCCCAGAGGGGACCTTGGAGGAGAAAGTTTTCAGGGTGGGGACAGAGAAGCCTCCCACCATGCTGCCAAGTAGCCATGCAGCCACGGGGGCCTGGAGATCCCTGGGTGACCAGATGGAGCCCCATGGATTACTGAGGGACCTGCAAGAGGGAAGGTAGGGGCTGAACTATACCCTCCGGCCCCAGACACAGGAAGACTGAAGTCCCTGCTCCCTCCTGCAGAAGTCACTAGGACAAGTGTGAGTGACAGAAAGTAAGGCTGGCCCCCGATTAAGCTGGTCACACGGCAAGGGACTCGCCACCCCCAAGGGTGCCCAGGTATGGCTGATGGGTGGACAGACTCTTGAGGGGACCCAGCCTGACCCAAGAACCCCATCTTTTCTTCCCAGTGGGGCCTCTGTGCAGTCCACAAACCACACAGACATGCATGACTCTCCCAGGAGGGTGACAGTGTCTCCCTCCCGTGGGGAGGGAGGATTTGGGGATGGCCCATAGCCCATGCTAGGAACAGGGCCCACCCTCGTGCCCCCACAGTCCTCCCTACATTTCTGTCCCTGCCTTCTGTTTCCATCCTTCCTGCTCCTGGCATCCAGGGCATGCAGACAGCAAGACCCCGCCTGCACTGGAGAAAGTAGGAAGGGAAAGCTTCCCTCTGGCTCCCTGCAGCTGGGGAGGGGGATCTGGGGACACTCATCACTTCTGCAGCACATCCTGTCCTCACGGCCCCTCCTGCAATTTACCCCTCAAGCTCTGCGTGTGTCACCTCCAGGGGAGAACATTTTATTGAGCACCTGCTAGATGTGTTCTGGGCCCCAGGCCAGTCTTTCCACCCTCTGTCAGCCCAGCTCTCGGTGCACACGACAGAGACAGAAACCAGCCCTGGCAGGTCTAACTGGGAAAGGAATTCTCTGAAGTCATCTTCAGTTGCTCACAGAATCTCTAAGGCCTGGAGGCCCACTGGGGACCACATGCTCAGATGTGATGTCCAAAGCGAGGCACAAAAGCCGCCCAAGTCTGGGCGCCTCTGCTGCCGGCCTGGCCAGTGATGAAGTGCTGTGCTGGACGCTGGCCACCAAATGAGCGACACCACAGCTGCTGTCCCGCGAACTTGGCACACACTGGGGCGGTCTGGGACTGACTATGCGGCAGGTCCCCCACTGTCAGGGCAGGTGCCTCTGCTGGCACAAGGCCTGCGGGCTGGAAGGCGAGGGACAGCGAGACACAGGGGAGCGTGTGCGCTGGCTACAGAGGCAGACCTGCGTCCACTTCCTGTGCATGGCCCTGGGCTCCTCCTTGAAACCCTGCAAGAATGTGCTGAGTACATGTGTCCCCTCGATTATCAGATCAGCCACGTGAGGGTCCCAGGGACCTCCGGCCAGGCGCATGTTGGGGCCCAGCCAGGCAGGGGCAGGAAGGAGGCTTGGGAAATGTGTGTGTGTGTGTGTGTGATGTGTGTGTGAGAGAGAGAGAGAGAGAGGGAGGGGAGGGGGAGGGAAGGAGAGGGAGAGGGGGGAGAGAGAGAAAGAGAAGAGAGAAACAACTGCACGTGTGTGCCCGCGAGAGTTCGTGGGTGTGAACTGTGTGTACACGTGTTACATGCGTGCGAAGTGAGCTTCTCTGTGTGTGTTAATATGCGTGTCTGCATATTTGTGGGGATTGTGTGTGTGTCTGTGAGTTTCTGTGTGTCTGTGTGTGCCTGTGTGTGTCTAAGCGGGTTCTCGTGCGTCTCCCGGACAGAGAGGCTTCAGGATCCCCACACTGGTCAGCTGTGATAATGCCTGACGGTCCTACCCCATCTCCCTCGTAGACACATGTGCACCACTGTCCCCAAATGAACGCTGACCTTAGGGAGGTGACAGCAAGCTCTGTAGAGAAGCAGCACGTGTGACATCCCCGAGTCTTGCCACCTAGGGGCTCCGGGCACCACCAGATCCTCCCTACCCTGGGGAGCACTGCTGGGAATCCATTCGCTCCACGGTGGTGCCAGTTCTGTACATTTGGGGCCCGATGTGGAGAAACCCAGACTCAGGGGAGACATGGGACAGACCCTCAGCCCCACAGGACCGTGGCCACTTGCCTGCATTCGCTGGCAGTTGGCAGACACAGCTGGCGTTCAGTAGGGATTTGCTGAGTGAATGAAAGGGCCGCCTCTGGACTGCGTGCTTACGAAGTCCTGAACCAGTGTGGCCAGGCAGGTCACCTCTGTGAGGCCCTGCTCCGCCTCCCTCTCGTCCTCCTGGCGTCCATGGGTCCTGCTGTGACTATTCTGTTCTTCCCACCCACCCCTGCCTTGCTCCTTGGTCTGAGAGCTCCTCGGGGGGGCAGAGGACAGGACCACCCCACCTGCTCCTACGGCGATGTTTGGTTCCCTCCGCCCTGGGCTGGACGAGCAGACTGGCAGGAAGAAGCTCTCCGTGCCCCAGGAGGCATCCCTGGGTGTGCAGGAGGCAGGGAAGGGGACAGACAGGGGCTGTGTGGATCCACAGAACTTGGGAGACAGCAGAGCCCAGATGGCCACAGGACAGGAATGTGCTCAGCCGCTGTGTTTTCACACAGGACGGTGCAGATGCCTAAAGGACCAACCAGCGCAGGAGCTTGTTGCTCACGTGACTCACTAGGGACCCAGGACCTGTGCTCTGGGCCTTGAGAATCTGCTTTTGATGACAAAATGCCCAGTGTGCGTCACACACCACTGCATCCCAAAGAGGGTGGAGTCTTCACTTGGTCACCCCAGCAGTGGCCCACAGCTCTGTGGCTCTGTGGTGTGATCTGGCCTAAGGGCGGGGCACACTGGGGGCCACAGAGGCTGCACCTGGGAGGGGAGCAGGCCCTTCTCCATGTCAGAGGATGCAAGGCAGTGTCTGAAGGCACTGCGCAGGCTGGTGCCGTGTCCTCTACACCCAGCCTTCCTTTCTGATTCTTTCTCCTCTCTGGCAGCCCACACAGTCCCTGCCGGGCCAGAGGGGAACCCGAGTCCCGGAAGGACTGTGTTGCTTTGGCTGTTGGGGGAGTTAGTCTCTCTTCTTTCAGCACCAGTATCTGTCTGCAGTGGGCAAAAGTGACAGTTTCCAAGCAAGGGCATAAGTCACCTCCTGGTCTGCCTGTGAGCCTCTCGCTGTCACAGGGCCTGAGCCTGAGCTCTGAAGGGTCCAGTGGACAGAGGAAGGAGAGCCAGGACAAAGGAAGAAACCTCAGGCATGGGGAGAGGGGGAGCTAGATGGGATGGAGGGTGGGAGGGAGGCTGGTGCTCTGCAGGACGGGCCTAAAACCCTGTGCGACCCTCTGCTGGCTCTGCGCACCCTGCCGTGGTG